GCAGTCCAATCTCTCCTTGAAAGTCTCAAGTGATGGCGCTCCCACAATTTCTGAAGGCAAAGCTGTTCCATTGGTTGATTGTTCTCACTGTCAGAAAGTTTCTCCTTATTTCCAGGCTGACTCTCTCCTTGTTCAGTTTCCATCCATTATTCCTTGTCTGACCTTTGGGTGCTTTAGAAAATAGCTTGACCCCTTCCTCTCTGTGGCAGACCCTCAAATATTGGAAGACTGCTATCATGTCTCCCCTGGTCCGTCCTTCCTTCCTTCCTTCCCTCCCTTTCCCAGCAAATCTATGCTCCCTATGTCCCCAAAATGTCTTCATATAAATATATGGGGAAATGCAGGATCGAAAAGGTTTACTGCCGCAAGTGTGTGCAAGCCAAAGAATTTGGCAGCCACCGCTTTAGAGAGCAAAAATCAAGGACAAATCCCTTTAAATATATATGCACGCACGCACGCACGCACACACAAATACACAAACACACAAGGTGCCTGCTCTCTGGTCTTCTTCTTACCTGCTCGTACTTCTCCAGCTCCGAGTGGTAGATCTGGCGGATTTGCGAAAGCTTGTTGCGGTAATCCGAATGCTCTATTGAGTTGTCAGGGGATACCCCTCCTGCCGCCGCTGCCGCTGCTGCCGCCGCTGCAGAACCACCCCCTTTTTCAGGTCCGGCCACCCCTTCGGCCAGGAGCATGTTATCCAGGCGCATCAGCTGTGGGTCGACCGGCTCTTCCTCTTGCGAACTCCGGATGCTCAGCCCTGCAGGCATCATCATCATCAGGAAAGGAAGGGGTTAAATTGACCCGTTTGAGCAAGCCTAGACTTGTGTGCAAGCATTGGGGTGGGTGGGTGGGGGTGCAAGCATGTACACCCAACTCTCCCACCCACCCCCATGTACACTATTTTTCACTTGGCTCCCCCCACTCCCTCCCCCTCCGGGTGTCTCGACGTCGCTTGGCAAGAGGCTGGGTTGCAGGGAGGTCGTTGCTATGGTAGCGGAAGGCCCAGAAAAGGGGTAGCAGTTTTTTGGCAGGAGTCATCCTGCAGAGTTGTGTGTGTGTGTCTGTCTGTTGGCCAGAAGGAGAGCAGGACAGACAGCCGGGGGGGGGGGGGAGAGCACAAGCTAAGACCCCCACAGAAACAAGAATGAGGATCAGTCAGTTTGGCTCTCTAACCCCCCTCCCCCCCCAAAAAAGTATGGAGGAGAAATTTTGCCCTCCCTCCTCCATGTTCCCAATCCAGGGCTGGTCTTTGTGCTTTTCACAGCCAGCAGCCCAGGGGCCTCTCTGCACCCCACTCCAGCCTCTCCCCAAAGGTGGCACGCAGCCAGAAGAGAAGAAATAACTCACAAACCTGCCTGGCTTCATTCATTTTAACAAGCTTTCTCCTCCGCACCCCCCCCCCCACGCCCCATGCTCTCTCCCACTACGTAAGGGAATCGCCGGGCGAGGCTGCGGGTGCAACTCCATCTGTTGCTCATGCCTCCCCGTTAGGAAATGCACTGGGTGTGGAAGTTGCCCAAGCCAAGCTGGGGCAGCCCCACAACTGGCAGGGCAACTTACTGGAAGTAAAAAGTATGTGTGGATGTGTGTGGAGAAAGGGGGGGGGGGAGTTGAGACACAGAAATGGGATAAATGCATTAGATTTGTAACCAAGCAAGGTTGCACCAGCAGGGAGCGGGCCGTGGGAGCAAATCTGTGCAACTCGCTTGACCAGTTCTGGAAAAGCTTCCTCGCTGGTGTTAAATACGAAGAGGCTGGAGGCCCAAACAATGGTGGACTTTCCTCCACTTTTGCTCACCTTGTGGGAGAAGAAAGGCTGGTCTGTGGTGCCAAAAAATTAAAAATGAAATGAAAATCAGGAGCCCCGGAGCACCTTTTCTGATAAATGCAACTTGCAAAAGCAAGCTGCTTTTTAATAAAATCAAAAAACCTCCCAGGCTCTTAATTTCGAGCTCTACCTAAAAGTCACTTGCAATGGACGGAAGCTGTGGGGGGGAAAAAGTCCTTTCCCATTAAGGCAATAGATATGCTGGTGCTTCAAGCCAGAAATTCAACCGGTGCAGATTTTGTTTTTACGTCAGGTAAAAACAAAAGTCCTCAGGACTGACTCCCAAGGGACAAAGTATTTTTTATGAAATTTATTTGCCGCTCATCTTGCAACCTTTATTTATTTTTTTCATTTATATCCTGCCTTTATTACGATGTTTTATAAATAACTTGAGCTAGCAAACGTACTGAATGCCCTTTCTTGTTTTTCCAACACAACAACCCTGTGAGGTGGGTAGGGCTCAAAGTCACCCAGCTGGCTTTCTTGCCTAAGGGGGGGGATTAGAACTCACAGCCTCCTAGGTTTTAGGCCAGAATTTTACACCAAACTGGCTCTCCAAGGGATTGTTCTCATTATTTGTAGTACTATGAATTAAAATCGTATGGATTAATTTATTTTCACGAAATAAATGTTTGCGGGGTATGTGTCAGTGAACAATCTGAAACTTTATGGGGGAGGAGTTAACGATCTGAAGAGTTTGAGGATACCTGCACTACACACTAATTAGCAGGGCTCACAATTTCCACTGAAATTATAAAAAAATGGGAGGTGATTGAAACTTTCCTCAGTTCTGGGAAAAATTATTACAAGTCCTTCTTCTGAACGTTTCGGGGCCAACGACGTGCTTCATTAATTCATGGAGGGTGGTATATGAATGAATATATAAGCTGGAAGGGACCTTGGAGGTCTTCTAGTCCAACCCCGTTCCAGCAGGAGAACCTATACTATTTCAGATGTGACTGTCTAGACCAGGGATGGCGAGCCTTTTTGTGGTGTGCCGAAAGCGCGCGCGCGTGATAACGCATGCGCACATATGTGGCACCCACAATGCAATGCGCCCCGCCCCCTGCGCATGCGTACATAACACCCCTGTCCCGAAGCTCAAGGGAAGCCTCCGCAGGCTTGGGAGGGTGAAAACGGCCTCAAACGCGCCGAAAATCAGCTGTGAGCTGCGCGCATGCACAGTACCGGTAAGTTTGGTTGAGGCTCATGTGCCCGCACAAATGGCTCTGTGTGCCGCCTGTCCTAGGTTCGCCATCACAGGTCTAGACTCTTCTTAAAAATTCAATGATGGAGCATCTACAATTTTTGAAGGCAAAGCTGTCCCACCAGTTAATTGTCCTCACTGTTAAGAAGTTTCTCCTTAATTCCAGGTTGCTTCTCTCCTTGGTTAGTTTCCAACCTTTGTTTCTTGTCCTGCCCCCTCTGGTGTTTTGGAGGATAATTAGGAGAATAATAATAAGCTGGAGACAATTTAAAACTCTCTCTGTCAAATCGGAAATCATAATCTTGAATATGAACCCCCTACTATTAATCTCGGCCAGAAGGAAAATGAGAGATTCCTCAAGATGTGATAAATAACAGTTATGCTTTGACCTCTTATCGCTTCGTTGCACTGTTTTCAAATGATCTTAGAGGAAAACAGGATGAGATCAGAATGTCTTGCACGATAGATCTGAAATTGTATGTATTGTTGAGGGGGGGGGCAAAATTAATAAAAAGACTGTGGCCATGTAATTTATAGGTGGTCCTCGACTTATGAGCACAGCAGGAACCAGAATTTATGTTGTTAAGCAAGGTTGTTGTTAAGTGAGCCGTGCCCAATTTTAAAACCTTTTTTGACACAAATGTTACGAAAATCAATGTAGTTATTAAGTCAGGAGTGTCAAACTCAATTTCATTGAGGGCCATTATCAGAGTTTTGTTTGACCTCGGGGGGGGGGGGGGGGGGGGCCAGTTTGATGTCTCTCGTGTCGGGGATGTCTCTGAAGGCCCGAACGCCCGAGAGAAAAAAACGGGCCAGCGAAAACAGAGCTCGGGTGGGCCACGTGTGCCCCCCAGGCCCCATTTTCGGCTGCGACGGCCTCCTGCAGCCCACAGCCAAAAACAGCTCTGTTTTCTCTGGCAGAGGCACTGCAGGCCGGTTCTTTGTTCTTTCTAAATCTAAACACCTGTGGGCTGGATCCAGCCCCCAGGCCTTGAGTTTGATATCCCTGTGTTAAATGAATCGTGCAGTCATTAAGCGAACCCAGCTTCCCTCTACTAACTTTGCTTGTTGGAAGTTGACTGGGCAGGTCTAAATGGCCCTCACATAACTCCAGGGCACGGCAATCATTGCATATACATGCTGGTTGCTCAAATTTTCATCCAGGACTGTGGGGATGCTGTAAGTGTGAGGACCAGTTGAACTCCTCACTTCGAATCACTTTTTTTCAATGTTATATCTTTGAACGGTCACTAAAGTTTATAGTTGTAAATGGAGGACTATCTATAGTTTGTTTAACGTATAGCATCTTCTAGGATTCGGGTTCAATTGCCAAAGAATTTCATTGTGACCTACCTTTATTTTATTTTTTTGGAGGTACAGAAAAAGAACAGAAACACAATAGGCATTCAACGCTATTTTATCAAAGAAGATTTTGTAGGATGTATTTTTTTGGAAGGGTTTTTTTTAGCCTGGAAACCAGGGGCAAGACTATTTCTGATTTTTCTGCTTCGGGATTAATTTCTAATTAATGTTTAAATTAAACTCTCTAGAAATAAAAAGTACAACACTGAGAAAGTGACAGCAATTTCGGATCTACTGTAGGTTTTTCTTCCTTGACACTAAATTGTTTTATAAATTGTTTTATAATTTAGTGTGTCTGTATGTTCAAGCAACTAAATAGAATAAAAATCCCAACGTATCATTTGGTATGCACCTGGAATTTCCCAAAGCAACTCTTTTCATTGTTAAAAATGAAAATTGGAAATGAATTATAATATTTTGCATTTATGAATTAAGACATTTCGCATTTTTTACCTTATGCATTGCAATAAAGGTACTGTTAGCTCAGTTATTAAAAACATATTTTTTAGCTGTTCTTGCATGTGCCAAATACAAATTTAAATTAGTTCCAGTAGTGTTTTACTGCAATGGGTTTTATTAGAAGTCAAGGAAACCTGTAACTCTCAGAATAAATCCACTTTTGGGACTATCTAAGACAGGGCAACCTGGCAACTTTAAGACTTGTGGATTTCAACTCCCAGAATTCCTCAGCCAGCAAAATCTCCCTAACTTTTTTTTGGGATGGAAAGCAATTAGTGATTTCAAAGTGATTTAAATTTGCATTAGACCTTAAAATCTGCAAACTAAGCTTGCAGTCTAGCATCTGGACCCATAATGTAACAATATTTGCCAGGAGTGAGTAAAAGAAATGATTAAAAACTGTGCAAATATTATCCAAGAAAGTAATGCGATTTAAATTTGGCAAGTTTTTATAAAAATGGGAAAAACATCAAGATGCAAGCCAAACTTTTCAGCTATCTAAACAAGCCCAGTTTTGGTGCTACTGAGCATTTTGAATTCAATTGGATGGACACTTTAACTAGCAGATCCATAATCTTCTACCTGCATTCTGGCTGGGGAATTCTCGGATTTGAAGTCAACACACTTTCAGGTTGCTTAGTTTTCAAGAGAAACCACTGCATTAAATGATAAGAAAAGAACAGGAAACATGTCTCCAAACAGCACCCTCTACTGATCCAGATTGCACAATAAGTGTAATCAGTAATAAATGAACGATCAACCTACACATTTATAGTATCAACTTCCATATCAGCCATTTTTTTCCTTTCCTCTAGGGGGCAGTGCTCATCTCCGTTACAAAGCCAAAGAACCAGCGCTGTCCGAAGATGTCTCTGTGGTCATGTGGCCGGCATGAGTAAAT